TTATAATACGTAATAAATTTATATAGTTTCTTAAAAGACGTAAATCTAAAAGGGAAAAAAGATAAATATATCCCCGAATTAAATGGTATGCAGATACCCTCCATCATACTTTTGGGACATTGGTGCCCCTACCGTCTAAAAAAACTAGAGCATATATGTATTTCACTCTAACGTAAGACTAAATAGGGACACGTGGCACAATCACATCCGTCGATAAATGTCGAATTGGTGGACAAGATTATGACACATGTATGTCTGTTAGTATAAAAGATATATATACTCTAGTTTTTGGACGATAGAGGCATTAATATCTCAAAAATATGATAAAAAATATTTACATACTATTTATGATAGTTCAAAGATATATTTGGTCTTTTACGAAGGACGCATTAATTAGACAAACTCGCATATAGACTAGTAATTCCGCCGCCCTGCTCGTAGAATTAAAGCAAGGGAAGAAGCTACTGACAGGGCCGTACCTGAATTTATTTTGAGCAAATAAGTTGGTTGCACATGGCCCTTCATTATGTCATTTTGGCACACACCTCTATTGTCTGTTGTAGGAATTACTTCCTCCGTCTCTAATTACATGTTCATTTTTTAATTGACTTATTTATTAAGAAAATAATATTTTTTTTGTTTTATAAAGAATGACCTAATTTAACTTGGCATGAAGTTTAAGAAAATAAAGAAGATTTTTTAATCTTGTGGTCCTAAATTAAAGTTATGTCAAATGTATAAAATTGTCATTTAATCCTATAGCCTTAAACATGCCACGTGAAAAGTTGAAATTAAAAAACAGAAGAAGTAATTGACATAGTGAGTTTATCATTTTATCCCTATTAATTATAAAGTGGATGAATTAAAAATTTAAGACCTTCAAGAAATTTTACATTTTTTAAAGTAATTAATTGAGGATATAATAAATTTAAAAAATTATCTTTTTTTTATTTGTCAAAATGGATAAATAATTAGGAACAACTAAAAATGAAAAAATTGACAAATAATTAGAGACAGGTGGAGTAATTAATAAGCGAAACTCCGCACCGTTTAAATTTGTCATTTTAGGTGCTGGATCTAGAAGGAGAAGCTTCTCTATCTTTGAACCGTTCGTTCCCTATCCGAAAAAATCAATAATTGACTAGTCTCTTATTTATTTTTACTTTATTTTTATAAATAATTGAACATTCCAATTTTATTAATTATGGATTGAATGAAATCACTATTTTTTGTTCAAATCTTATCTATTTATGAAGTTTATTAAATTATGTATAAATATTTAATTGTGAACTTGATGAATACTTCTTTTATTTCAATATAAAGAAATTTCTTACACTTGTTTTGTTGTTTAAAATGAATAATTTTTTCAAATATTTTTTTCAAAATTATTGAGTTTTCATTTATTATTTCTAATTTTAAGGAAAAAAATGATTAAAAGAAAAGCAAATGAATGATATTATTAAATTATCTTTAATTAATATTTTTAATTAATTTTTTGAAAGAGAAAGTTACATAAAAATGGTAAGTTTCGTGACAAATTTAAAATTTATAAATTTTAGAAAATGATTTTACATGTGTTTAGGATATTTCACGCTATTCAACGTTTCCTATTTCACTCACCATTAATGTTGAAAGTGACATGACTTAAGTTGTTAATCATTGATTAGTAGCTTAACTAAACAACATAATTTAAAAATTGGTTAAATCTATTTTTAAGTTATTTTAGTTTTTAAGAGTGTTTGACAAAATTAAAAAATAACTTAAAATAAGTTTAAAATGACTTAAAAAAATTAAAAATCAAAATAGGACTCCCCTACTTTTTATTTTTAGGAAATTTATGTGGTTATCCAAGCTCATACTATTTAATTAGTCATCATAGTTATAGTTTGCTATAATTACCACTCACGACTAACATTAGTCATTAATTACGTGATCTGGATTCAAGTTTGTATAATTAGCTATATTTGTAAATTCGCAACTAACAATTCTTTGTTTGATTTATATTTGTATACGATGGTTTGTATTTGTGTATGACGATAATTTCCTTTGGGTTTTCAGTTTTATCATCATATTACATTCTATTTTTTTGGTATAACTTTTTAAAGTTTCTATAAATGTGTAGTTTTCGAATTTTGTATAATATAATTTGTATAACTATTTAAAGTTCGTATATTTATGTTTGTATCAATTCGTTATTTCGAGTTTGATCATATTTGTATAATTTCAGACTTTGTATTACTCAATTATACAAAAACACGTGAATTATATAAATGTAGTCGCGAATTATACAAACGAGATGTGAATTATACAAATTATTGCCCTCTCTCGCTCGTCTCTCTCCTCCCTCTCCCAATCTCGCTCGCCAAATATACAAATACATGTGTATACCAGTTACATATATACAATTATTTTGACATATATACATATACAATTCGCATCTCTCCACTCTCTGCCCTTTCTCGCTCGCCTCTCTCCTCCCTCTTCCATTCTCACTCGTTACTCTCATCTCTATAACATGTAGCTACGAATCGTAATTAACAAATTATAGTTATGGAGCATAATTAAGCTACTTTTGAGTGGCTATATGTGAAACTTCCCTTTTATTTTTTGACTTAAATATAATTTAAGTTTGACTTTTTATTTTATTTTTTGAAAAAAGGATCAAATGCCCCCTCAAGCTTTAGCCATATTTTCAACTACACACTTAACCTTTGTGGGGGTCTTATTACCCCCCTGAACCTTTGTGGGGGTCTTATTACCCCCCTGAACCTTTTTTTTTTTATATTAGTTCACCCTCAGACGCTGATGTGTCCACATACGTGAACTCACCTCCGTGAGGCGCGTAAGAACGTAATAAAATGTCCATGTGGAGTCCAAATAAGCCTCCCAACGGTAATTTACTCTTTATTTAACACATTTATTTTTTATTCTTTCCCCAAATGTCCATCTCTTTTGTTCTTGAACAAAAGCTCTCTTCTTTGTTCTTCATCCACCATTTTCAAAGCTTGAATTTAGTTGTTGTATCTTCTCCAACTAAGATTGAATTTAGGGTTTGCAATTTTCTCGAATTTCATATTGAACAATCGAAATCTTCCCCAATTCGACAGCTTGATTTTTTTTTCACTTTGTGTTATTAGGGTTAGTAATGTCAAACACAAAATTGAATAAGCTATGCATGGAAGAATCAGACACAATGCTCAAAACCATAGTATGATGCAAACATGGAAGTTTGTTGCATATGTAGACTTCTTGGTTGAAGTCGAATACTGAAAGACGATTTTGGTCTTCCCCCTACTATGGTGTATGCGACTTTTCTTCAGTTGTTTGATTTTGTTGGGTTTAACCTGATGTGAATGTTAATAACGTTAATATATTGTTTTTATTTTTTCAATCTAACAATTGTAATTTTTTTCGATGGAGAGACAGAGAAGAAATCGATCCAAAATTCCAATTTATCCTCCCAAAATTGGTGAACAAAATCAAAGAGTTGGAAGATGAAGTTTGGAGGAGACAAATTCAAATCAATGAGCAACAAGTTCTGATTGATAATTTGACAGTAGAGAAGAGGTTCAAACGAAGAAAGTTGAAATGGTGTGTGTTTGATTGGAAGGTCATTTTGTGTATTTTGATTTGTGTTGTTGCCTTGTTCATCAACAACCTATTTCAAAGTAGGGTTCATTCAAGTATTGAACTAATTGAATTGTCATAACGTATGTGAGTAGTGAGTAGTGAACGGAGTTGAAACTCTTTTTTGGTTGTCATATGTAATATGAGAAATTTTGTATATCAATATCATGAATCTTTTCGGATAAAGTAGTTGATATAGTAGTGTCTATATTACAACAAATAAGGGAGAAATTGAATAAACATAACACCATTTGTAAAATAGAAGGCTTTTAATAGACATAATCGATTGTAAAACAGGCCTCGCATTAGGTCAAACTACAATCAAAAACCAAAAATCAAAAACATAATTTGATGTTCAATACTAATACATAGAGGCGTATCTAGAGGGGGTTCCGTGGGTTCACGTGAACCCATGCTCCCCTCTCTAGATTATATATAGTAGTGTTATATTTTTATAAAAATATTTAAATACAGAGGTGTGAACCCACGTTAAAAGTAACATATAATAATACGATGAAGATTGGGTGCACCTCTTTAAGCAAATATAGAAATTTAAATTTTATATCTATCTTATGTTTGTTACTAACACCCCTCCAAGTGGTTATCGGTAGCACTTTTGGCGTTTCAATCAATTTTTCTTTTATTTTTTTGCTTTAATCTTTAAAAAATTTCAAATGTGTAACATTGAAAATTCCTAAAAAAAAATTAGCGCGGTATAATTTTTATATAATTAAATCAAATGTGTAAATTAAAATTTAAAACTAGTACTATTATATATGTTGGACCTATAATTTTTAAAGTTTAACAGTTCAGTGTTAAGAACATAAAGGTTAAACCGATCAAATTTATATCTTAGATGCATCTTTTTGTAATAATGCACCCATCCTTATGAAATCCTGAATACGCCTCTGCTAATACATCATTATTCAAAATAGGAAATGTTTTCATGCCTACTTAAAACAGTACTGCAATATTATTACTTCCTAGATTGGATTGTTTGAACTACTTCCTCTTGATATTTTTTTTTTGTTCCTCTCTCATTTCTTGAAGTTTTCTTATTGAGATTGCTGTTTTTCCATTCCACTTCAATTTGGGTGCAGTACTTGGTTTGTAACCAATATCACCAGTAACATCAGCATATTTTGTCACCTTTGTTGTACCAGTAGAGAAGATCTTACAACTTGACATCCCAAGCTGTATTCAAATTATGAAATAATTAGTGAGTGAGTTTGTAGTTAAACATAAAAAAATAGTATAATTGAATCAATAGAAAACACTTACATTAAGAGCTTTGAATCCATTTTCAGCTTGAAACACACCCATTCCAATGACTGCTTGCCTTTTGTATGAGGTTGTGTTTCCCCTACCCCTTCTTATTCCTTTGTTACTATTAGTTAACTGGTAATCAGCAGGTGTAGAAGATCCAACATGGTAATTAGCAGGTGATGGACATGTAGGAGGTGCACTAGCTGCTGCATGTGGTCTTCCTCTTGCACTCTTTGTAGGCGCTGCAAATGTATTAGGTGTTGCAGGTGCAATAGGTGGTCTTCCTCTTGCACCTTTCATAGGTGTTGCATATGCACTAAGTTCTGCAAATGCACTAGGTGTTGTAGGTGGTCGTCCTCTTGACCTCTTTGCAGGTCCTGGAGATGCACTAGGTGCTGCAGGTGAATTTTCTCTTGACCTCTTTGTAGAATGCTCACCTTTTGTTTGTGCTTTCTATAAATATAGTTAAAAATAATTGTAGTTATTACATATGAGATCTCTATCACATACCAAATTAAAGTTAAAGATGTTACCTTTGGTCTGCCTAAACCTGAAGTTTTGCCCTTTCCCTTGTCTGTATTTGATGGTTCTTCCCTTGCTGATGACTCAACCCTTTGTGAACATCCTCTCTTGTTGTGGCCTCTAACATTACAGTTACTACATGTCATGGCAAGTCCAGTTCTAGGTAGCTTTTCAGATTTTTTACTCTCACCAGCTTCCTTCTTTCTAAGTTTACCTGGCTTGCCAGACATGCCTTTTATTTCTGGTGGTGCAACTATGGGGTTAGTAGATACAGGCCACATTTCCATGTTTGTGATAAGTTGAATGACATTGGCATAAGTCTTCAAGTAAATTGCCTAACTATAGCAGTTGTCAATATAGTCAAGGGGTTCACATTTCTTAAAGTAAATGGCAACCACAACATGTGCACATGGTATGCCTTTTAACTGTCATACCCTACAACTGCAAGTCCACCTACCAAGATCCACACTGTGTTGAAATGGTCCTCTCTCACTTCAAACCCATCATCTCCATTAAATTCAATATTACAATTCATTGACCTATCAATATTCTCCTGTAGTACCTTCAAAGACATTGGAGAAAAATCACACATCCAAGTATTTGTGAACTCTCTTAACTTGGCTATTTTGGTCATCATCTTTACTCTTATCTTTTCAAGCATAGTAATAATTGTCTTGTGTCTAACTGCCAAGATCCATGCATTAAAGCACTCAGACATATTGTTGTCTACAGAATCACATTTTACTTGAGTATTAAAGTAAACCTTACATCAGTACTCTATGTTGTAGTACATAAGATCATCCATCATTTTTTCTGGACCAAGCAACTTCATCTTTGCAACATTTTTCCTCAATTGAGATTCAAAGGTACTCTTTGCAATAGACCAAAACTGTTGTCTTCTTTGGAGACCTCTCCAGTCCTTAGTCCAGTTAGCTAAGATGTGTCTAGCACACATTATATGTTCATCAACAGGTAAAATATTTAGAATTGCTCATATTAATCCATGTAATAGATCTAGATATGTTATAATAACAAATACATGAAAATTGACAAAAGACAAATTCAAAATAAAATAGTACACATACCTTTTGCATAGTTGTAATCAGGGTGAGATCTTCACCATCTCTTAGTCCTAGATCTTCCTTCAACAGTTTGATAAACCATGTCCATATCTCTTTATTTTCATACTCAACTACTGCCCAAGCAAGTGGCAACATCTGGTTATTACCATATTTGGCCACAACAACTAATAATTGTCCTCTACAAACTCCTTTAAGAAAACAACCATCTAAACCTATGTACTTTCTACAATTTTGGAATGCCTTCTTCAATGGGTAAAAACATATGTAAAAGCTCTGAAATACTGGCCTACCAAGAGCATCAGGTTCACCAAGTTTAACAACACAAGTGCTCCCTGGATTGGTCCAATCCAACAGTTCATCTTTATAGTCAAGAATTTTGCCAAATTCCACAATATGATCACCCATGATATCTTTCAACACTTTAGCTCTTGCCTTCCTAACAGTAGTCTTGCCAACATGAATTTTAAATGTTTTCCTTATCAACTCTTGCAACTTGAAAACTCTTATATTTGGCTGCTCATTAATCCTTTTTCTAAAGTGTGTAGATATGAACTTTGCATTACACAAATAATTTCTAGTTGTGTTGTTACAACTATGCTTTGGATTGTAAGTCTTTATCATGAAATCATCTATTGTTTTGTCAAGACATGCAAATAAAAGCCATGGACAACTTTCCTTGCACCTACATCTAACTCTTTTTGGCTCATTCACACACTTCTCTATTTGAACTCTTTTCTGGACAACATATTTACTAACTGCTCTTTTAAATTCATTCACATCTGCAAAAATCATACCCAACTGCCATACAACTTTTTGGCAGTAGGATCATGTATAATTTTCTGATTATTTGGCCTCCTCCTTCTTGATAAATTTACAGTTCTTGGTAAATTTACTCTTTCAGATTCAACACATTCATCACTAAATTCATCTTCATTTATTTCAAAACTTCCATCATCAGAACTTGCAAAATAAGGCTCATCACCTCCTAATCTTCCTTCAACACTTGTTTTACCTGTTTAAGTTTCATTAAAACCTAAATCTACTCTAGCTTCATCTATTGATACCTCTTCAGTATCAACTGGTACTCTCTCTTTTCTTTTTCTTCTTTGAAAATATCTCTTTTTAGCCTTTAACTCCCTAGCATCTTCATGTACATCACTACCATAGTCCTCATCATCATCTCCCACCAATCCACATTCAGACTCAACACTATCTTCAGTTAAGTAATCGGAACCCTCTTCTTCTAAGAAATCAGATTCAACAGGGCCTGAAACTAGATCATCAACATCTTCAGTGCTAGGATTTGCAGCAATGACAAGAATTGTAGTGGAAGGAGATCTAGGAGCAACAGTTGTAGTGGGTGGAGTTTTAGTGGAAAGAGATCTAGCAGTTGTAGTGGGAAGAGTTGTAGTGGAATGAGTTGTAGTAGTGGAGGGAGATCTAGGAGCAAAAGTTGTAGTGAGAAGAGTTGGAGTAGAAACATATCTAGTATCAAAGGTAGTAAAAGGGTCTTCACCTACCCCACTTTGTTCATTTACTTTATTAATAGTTGAACCATATTCCTCTATATCCCAATAAGGAACATTTTCTAATAAAATAAGGGTGGGGTCCATAACTGCATCATCAATCAAGTTCTTTACATATACCTCCACAATATCTCCATCTTCCAAAGAACAACTTAAGTCTAAAATATCCATATCATTATGAATATCTTCCAAAATGCCACTATTAGGAGGTTTAATACTAAATGTGCAAGTTGTTGTGTATCCTAATTCTTTAATGTAGCCTCGTGATTCAAAATAGGACAGTCTATCCACATCAACATCCAAAAACTCTGTAACTTGCCCACACTACTGTAAACTGGTTGTCCACTACTCAAATCTAATACTCCACCATGATACCATCTTAAAGTAACCAAAGTAAATACACTCATCTCCTACTTGAACAAAGGTAACACTAGTAAGGAATGAGAAACTTTACTTTCTGAGGTTGTACTTTACTAGTAAACTACAAGACTGTATAAATTCACGAAAACAAGTAAATAACTATTTGGTTGCTTAAAAGATTCTGAAGTAGCAGAACTAGGGAGAAAAAGAAAAAACAGAAAATCCCTAATCAAACACTATTGTTTAAACTGAATAAACTTCAATTAGAACTAACCCTAATCAACATTGAAAATCCCTAATAAACTACATATTGCGACACACATATCAAAATAGCATTTGAATGCCCAGTGCAACAAAACCTAATCAAACACCACCATCAAAACTAAAATCAAATATCAACATAACATTCAGTTGGTAAAGAATAACCTTCAATTAGAACTAACCCTAATAAACATTAAAAGACCCTAATAAACTCCACACTACAACACACCAGTCAAAATAACATTTGAATACGCAGTAAAAATAAAACCCTAATCAAACACTACATCAAAATAGTATTCAGCAAGTAAAGATCTAACCTTTTCTCAGATAGTAAGTAAGCTTTCCGAGCAACGTCAGTAATGGAAGATCGTAGAGAAAAGGAAGAAGAACTAGAGATTAGATTAGGAAGAAGATCATAGAGATTAGATTAGGAAGAAGAATGAGGGTCAATTAGGTTCATAAAAGATAAAGGTAAATGTAAAGTTTTGTGACACGTGTCAATTTGTGAGTCGTGTAAAGTCATGGGGTCCACTAATATATACGTGGACATCATGTGTATACAAACATTTTTTATAAATCTGATTTATGTGGACACATCAGTGTCTGAGGGTGAACTAATATTAAAAAAAAAGTTCAGGAGGGTAATAGGATCCCCGCAAAGGTTAAGTGTGTAGTTGGAAATATGACTAAAGCTTGAGGGGCATTTGACCCCTTGCTCTTTATTTTCTCTTAAAAGTTGCTCCCTCCATTTCAAATTAATTGAATTATTGAGACATTTTTCATTTTTTAAATTAACTTAATTGTTCCATCTTTAAGACTACTTTTAGAATATTTTTCCAATTTTATTTTCATTAGTTAGTATTGAAATTAGTTATTATAATTAATGTTTAATTATTTAATCATAAATTTGACAATTAATAAGGGTAAAAATGGAAAGTTATGTTTAATTTATGTCTTAATCTTCTTTTCTTAAAGGACGTGAAACACTTCAACAATTCAATTAATTTGAAATGGAGGGAGTACTTTTTTAGCCAATTCAAACTAGGGGTGGGCATAAATACCGAAAAACTGAAAAATCGAACCGAATTGAACTAATTCTGTTCTTCGATTTTTTGATTCGGTATCGATGTATTTTTTTGAAAGTTTGATTATTCGATTCGGTGTTCGATTTAAGGGTCTCAGAACTTCGGTGCACTGAAGAACCAAACTTATATTAAAAAAATAAGAAAAAATTAAAAATAAAATTATATACATATATAGGCATGCTCTTAACTAAACATAAAAAGTCAACTAACAATTAAATTAATCATGAACAAATCAAAGTAGCAACAAATGTACAATTCAATAGTTAACTTCAAATATTAGTTTTCACAAGGAACCAAAATATATTTTTATCAATGTACGTTATGTAAAGGAATTCGTCTTCGTCTTTGTTTTTTTCGAGAAGTAGTTGAAGGCACAATGTTCTTGATAAAGTTAAATATAGTCTTTTAGTTAGCACGATAAGTGTTCTATGGCGAGACACATCATTTCTTAACATACTTTTAAATTTTAAGTATCTTATACTTTGATTTTGTCCTCATTTTACTTTTCGTTCGCACCAAAAAATCATTTTAAAAACACCGAATTAAACTGAATTGAAGTAGAAAAATAGAACCGAACCGAACCGAATTAGTTTGATTTGGTGTACGGTGCACACTTTTCTAAATTCGAAGAATCGAATCGAAGTTTGATAAAAACTGAATTGAAGAACCGAACGTCCACCCCTAATTCAAACAGGCTCGTAGTGTGTTGGGTAATTTATACTCCCTCTATTTACTTTTACGTGTCACAGTTTGACTTGACACACCATTAATAAAATAATTAATGATATAAGTATTTCACCAAACTAGCCCATATTAAATGAGGTCTTAGAAAATGATTTGAAAAATAAGTATTTAATGCTGAGAGTAAAATATGATATGTCAAAAATGACAAGTAAAAGTAAAAATATATTTTAGTAATAAATGACAAATAAAACTGAACGAAGGGAGTATTATTTTTTGGGAAAATTGTATG